AAAAAATGAAATAGTAACATGAAAAATTGTAGAAATACATGTAATGAATCTGTGAGCACATGTTCTTCATTGAATCACTTGAGATTTCTCCAGTCTTTCATTGTGAAGAGAGGTGCTTTTAGTCTGGATGCATTCCAACCAGACTCTTAAGCAACTGCCAACATCTGAAATGAGGCAGCAGGACCAAGATTGACTTAGAACAAGGAATGACTGAGGGTGCCATGGCACAACATCATGAGCTTTAAATAAGGAAGGGGTTTTATAAGTTAGTGATGCACAATAATCAAGAAATTGCAGTGGAGACCAGGAATGACACCCAGGGCAGGGCAGAGGATCTCTGAAATACTCATGGTGTATAAGATAATGAAGAGCATCTTCTTTTGAAGACATGAGAGGAATCAATGTGTATAGGCAAATAATAAAATGCGTTCCCATTTATAAGTTATTAGCATGTTTTAGTCTGTGGTTGAAAAACTTTCCATAGAACAGGTCACCCAATAATCAGAAAAATTACATAATAAAAGGCCCATTATCACTCTTCTTAAATGAGAAAATGAGAGCTCAGATCAGTGAATCAAAAATTACACATCTAGTCAGTGGCCAACTGGTATACCTGGGATTCAAATAAATAAAAACTCACTCTTATCTCGTCCAAGAGAAGCAGTCTTAGGTACTATGTTATATAAAATCACCTTGAATTTATGTAAGGTTTTTTGGAAAGTGCTTTGGAGAACACATTATATAAACAACTTGATCCTTCCCCTAATTTTCAGAGGAAATAAGAAACAAGATGTGTATGTATGAATTATTCACTTTAGTTCAACAAAAAATAACTAAAATATGTAAATAATTGTGCTACCAGCCCTAAGTATATAAAGAAGATGAATAAAAAAGTATATAAGTATAAAAGTATATAAGTATAAAAGTATATAAGAAGATGAATAAAACTCTCAACAGACTCAGGAATTCATAATCTAGTGTCAGAGGGAGATACACATGTTGCTTAAGATAGATTACTTCTGCTGGGGTGAATAAAGGGAAGGACTGTAAAGTAGGTGGAGTTTAAATTGGGACTTGGCAGTTTGTCAAATGAAGACACTGGTACTGGTTTTCTATGTGGAAGAAGATTCTTGAGCATAGACTTTAAGAAAAAATATCAATGGGTATAATCTGAAAATAATGAGCTAGAAGCAACTGGAATGATGGGTGAATAGGACAGTGTTTGGTTAGGATCAGTCTTTGGAGCTGTGGAAGAAAGAAGAGAGAGTGGATCAAAGCTATTATTTTGGTGAAAGCCAATACTTTAAGAATGATAAATTAGTTTATAAATCCCCCAAGAATGACTAGCATCAATGGGATTCTGTTGCCAATGTAAATTAATCCCAGGAAATACTGTCCAATACCTGAGTCCCCACCATTTTCAGGGCATGGTCAGGAAGGGAACTGCAAAGAATTAAATACACCTGTCCTTGTTCAGATAACCCTGTAATATGGATGCCTGGATCCCATAGGATGCTATGCTGGCACCAGCACAGACTATGAGGATTGACACAACAGAGCTGAAAGTAGAATGAATAAGTCAATTTAACTGTGTATCTAAGATAAGCAGGAAAAAATGGGAATGTAGATAGTGCCAGAAATCTGATGGAAAAGTGAGATAGGAGAGGATGAAGACACAAGTTAGTAAATCACATCTGAAAACAGGACACACACTTTCACTTAAAGTGCGCACACACACACAAATGAGTCATTTTAATATTTTTTAATTCATTAAAAATAAGTAAAGAACTCCAGGAAATTCATACTCCAGAGAAGTGGCATTAGATAAATATATTAACAATATCTGGCAGGGCTTAGAGGAGGCAGTGGGTGACACATGTCATTTCCTCACTGTAAGAATCAAAGTTCCAGAGCCAACTTCTGTATCTCCACAAGAGATCTATTCATGACACAAAACCAGTTTGAACTGTGTCAGGTAGAACCAAGTGGTCTAATAGGTATCTAAGTATTAAGCAATTGAGGAAACTGAGAGGCACTGCAAGTGACTAGAATACCATTTTTTCTTTATTTTGAAAACAGTTTCACTCTAATTAAGTTCCTGTAATTATGACTTGACAAGTCTCTTTCACACAGATGGGGTCAAAGTAAACTTCCAGATAACTCCAGAATGCAAAAAAACTAAGGTTCCAATCAGTGCAGGGAGAACAGGAGTCAGGATATGAATATCCCCATAATCAACTGAAAATTTAGAGAATGCAAAATCCAAACTTACTCCTGCAGTAACTATTTAAACTTCCTATGTATCATGAAAACTCTTCCCCACTATCAATTTAAATTCCCCAGCTTAGTTCTCACCCATTTTACCTCTTACAACGTTCTCAGCAGCTTCTGGATTCCCTGCTTGATCTCCTTGGTTCTCACACCATAAACAATGGGGTTCAGAGCTGGGGGGATGAGGTGGTGCAGGATGTTGAGCAGGATGGGGACATCTGGGGGAATCTTCTTCCTGGCCAGGTTAGTGATGACCAGAACCAGCAGGACTGTGCTAAAGAAGAGGATGAGGATGAAGTGGGAACCACAAGTGCCCAAGGCCTTGGCCATAGCACCCTCAGCCTTGATCCTTAGCACAGCTTTCAGGATGAAGGAGTAGGAGAGAATAATTAGGATGAGGTCAGAGCCCAGTAGGGTCCAGCCTGCCACAAACTGGTAGAGCCGGTTGAAGGTGATGTCATCACAGGAGAGTTTGGACACAGACAGATTAGTGCAGATACAGTTCTTGATGATGTTCTCTGCACAGTATCTGAGCCGGGAAGAAAGTATGGGGATAGGCATAGTAAGAAGGCCATTCCGGGCCACAACAAAGATGGTAGCCTTAACCACAAACTGGTCAGTGATGATGGATGGGTATCGTAGTGGGTGGCAGATGGCCACATAGCGGTCATAGGCCATGACCATGAATGTACAGGACTCCATGGTCAAGAAACTGTTCATGATGAACATCTGGAGGAAGCAGGCTGGGAAACTGATTGATTTATTGTCAAACCAGAAGATGTCCAAGACCTTGGGGATGACAGTCAGGCAGAGCACTATGTCCAGCAGGGAGAGGAGGCTGAGCAGGTAGTACATGGGCTCATGAAGAGAGGCCTCCAGCCTGATGGTGATCAGCAGGGTGGCATTGGCTCCCATGGCCAGGAGGAAGAGGAGGCTGAGGGGCAGGGACAGCCAGTGCTGCCAACTCTGGTAGTTAGGGAAGCAGATGAGGAGGAATTCAGAGATAGGAGCAGTGGAGTAGTTGCTGGGTGGTGCCATGTAAAGTGTCCTAATCACTACTGACACTTTAGAAAACCTTGAAGGGTAAGACAAGAATAAATCCATCCAAATAATATGAATACCCATGGGGAAGTAACATTTTTCATAGAACCATTTAAAAATAATAATAGTTAAGTGCCTGGTTTCTATTCTTTTTTTTTATGTTCAGTTAGCCAGCATATAATACATCATTAGTTTTTGATGTAATGTTCCACAATTCATTAGTTGCATATAACACCCAGTGCTCATCACAACACATACCCTCCTTAATACCCACCACCCAGTTACCCCATCCCCATAACCGCCTCCCTTCTGTTACCCTCAGTTTGTTTCCCAGAGTCCAGAGTCTCTCATGGTTTGTCTCCCTCTCTGATTTCTTCCCATTCAGTTTTCCCTCCCTTCCCCTGTGGTCCTCTACACTATTCCTTATGTTCCACATATGAGTGAAACCATATGATAATAGTCTTTCTCTGCTTGACTTATTTCACTTAGCATAATCCCCTCCTAAGTACTTTATAAATATAAACCCATCCATCCTGTTAAAAATCCTGTAAGTAGGATGATAGTAGAATGACCATATTTCCTGTTTGCCTTGAATAATTCCCATTTAAGCCCTTACACACTCTTAGTAGTTTCCCAACGAGGTTGATAAATTACATGATCATCCTTCTTATAATAAAACACCATTGTTAGTCCAATTTTACAGATGAGGAAACAAAGGCAAAGGTAAGTAAAGTCTTTTTATTAAAATCACAGTGGTGAAGCCATGCACTGAAATTATGAAGTCTGAATCTACAGCTACCTACAATACTACTACTACCTACAATACCAAGACATATATGCAGGCTCTGCTGCTAGAGCAGATCAACCATAGTCCCTACACAAATGCATGCCCCTGCCCCTCTTCCAATAGATGACATCACTGGCAAAGGAGAAATCAGGACTACATGCATCACCATGAAATACCTCAAGATTTCGATAGAGTCATGACTACCATTTATATAGGAAATAGCATCTTAGAGAAGTCTAAAAAAGTATACACTCGGAGACAAGAAGGTATGAAAAAGTCTCCTAATGTCAGGCAGGTGGTTGGGATAAGAACAAGAAATTGCAGGAGTCAGCGATTTTGGTCCAACACTACTACCAAAGAGTGAGGGACAGTAGCAACTGCTCTCTTCATCTGAGTCCACGTGGATTCTCCGTCAGTCACAAACCCAGACTGAGCAGGTTCACGTGGACTCCTGGCCTGGTACACCCTAACCAGTTATGAGCATTTAAGACACTTCTGAGATAAATTTTTATATGGCTGTCATGCTAAGGCTTATCTCAGAACATTGAGTGACATGTTCAGTGACACTTTGTTTTCCATGCTCTGAGGATGCCCAAAATAAGCCAATTTTTATCAACAATGGCAGTGGTCCTAATGAGTGTTCGGCCCTCCTAGAGCCAGCTTCCCTGTCTTTCCTGAGAGGTGAGAAGGTAAGGTAATTGTAAATATTTGAAGGTAGATTTTGAAATTGGAAGAAATAAATTTGTTCCTCTATTTTGCCTAATACATTATCAGTTTCCATATTTGCTATATAATCTATAGCAGCAATTCCAATAGAAATACATTGTGAGCCACATACATAATTTTGCATTTCTAGTAGCTAACTTAAAAAAACTCAAAGGAAACACATGAAATTAATTTTAATAATATGTTGTTTTCCTCAATATATCCAAAGTGTTATCACTTGAACATGTATCAATATGAAAAACTATTAAAGAGCTATTTTACATTCTTTGTTTTTGTTTTTGTATTAAGTCTTCAAAATCAAGTACATTTTACACGTGCAGCACATTCTAATTCTGACTAGCCACATTTCAAGCACTCAGTAGCCACACATGGACTGGATGTGTACTGTATTGCACAGCACAGGTCTAGAGTTCTGGAAAACTAAACATTCCTCTTTCTATTTTGCATAATATGAGTTCACTTTTTGTACTCGCAAATGGCATCTATAACTTTGTTTATTTATGGAAATTCCATTCATTTGGCTCTGGGTCAGCTCAAATTTACAGTTTTTATTTTCTTTTCAATACTCCCCATCAAATTTCCTTTAGAGATTCTTTAGTAAATTGATCTTTCAAACTTCAGGATGGGAATGCTTTAAGGACAGGGATAATGAACACATCCAGAGCTCCCAGCTTAGTTAACATAGATGCTTCTATCAAAGACGAGGACTTTCTAGCAACCCCTACCTCCCTGACTCAGGTTAGATTATCATTCTTGCCCTGACCCCTAACTTAAACCAGTGAAGTGATTTAATTTTTTTAGAGTCAATGTCACTAGTCAGCAAAGAATACCAGAATATCCAGATATCTCCAAATGTGGTCTATAAGAATACCATTCTTCCACATAAGATACATTCGGGGCCTGGAACTAGGTTTTGTTAACAAAGGGTGACAAAAGAGTGAAAGTTCAGAGGGTAGACTCAGAATTAAGTAACAGCTATAGATTCAACCACAAATCCAGACAAAACCGATTTATCCTGTTAGTCAGACCATACAAACTTACCTACAGCCAGATTCCAGTTACCCTAAAGAAATACATCTATTCCTATAAACTCATCTGCTTCATTTCCAATTGGTCATTATGTTCTTTTTCCTGGATCAATAAACCAAAAATAAGGAATTGACTCCACATCCAGTCTTCTGGGGAGCATGGTAACATGAATAATAGAAAAACTATTCTGTCCCAGTGAGAGAAGCAGGAAAGAGCACTGGGAGACAAGGCAGGGTGAGAGGGTGTGGCCAAGAGGGAGTAATCAAGGCAATGGGGATAACTGGTCCTATCCCATCTGGTGCTTCTACGGCAATCTTCCGTAGGAGGACAGAACTGCAGTTAAGAAAATCAACTCCGGGTCTCTGGCTGCCATAAGCAATAATGAAGATATAGATTTAATTCAAGAACACTCACCCTGATCTCAGCTTTTCTAAATGGTAGAAAAACTTTGCTCCTACATAAAAGCAGTGATACAGGGGCACCTGGGTGGCTCAGTCAGTTAAGCATCCAACTCTTGATCTCAGCTCAGGTCTTGATCACAGGGTCATGAGTTCAAGCCCCGTAGTTCAAAGCAGTGATGCACCAGATTTGGAGAAATTGGTAGAATCAGAATCTGCCGCACCAGGCCTGCTACAGTTCTACCAGGAGAATTCCTTCTCCCTGCTTATATTGAATATTAAATACCTGGAGGCCGACACACTTCATCATTCCCATCTTCATGATTTTCCTGCCTCCAAACCAGACCTACCAGCTTGAGGAGGCTGCACTCTACTGTTGCTATTTATGACTATTTACTGCACCACCTAACCAAGCCCTTCAGAGGCTCCAGAAGCTATTTTTAAGGCCCTAAGGTCCATCCTGTCTCTTCCCTCCCCACACACAGAGGCTAAGACTATTTTAGCCATCTGAACCTAGAGGCTAAGGCACATATTCTCAGGAGGGGAGGTGGAGAAGAAAACAGAGAAGACAAAATCTAATAGAGGAGTAGCAGTGAACAAGGAGAGAGTTGAGGAAAACTTTTGGGAGAAGGGTGCTTCTAAATAAAGAGCATATACGTTTGAAAAACAAATATTTCTAGACTTAGAACACAGAGAAATTTATTTCAGGTCTTAAGTGTACTCTTAGAAAAATTATAATTAAATGAAAGTTTAATATTATCCTTAAACGAGGGTCATCTCATTATGGCCATTGTATAAAAATGGGCCATGCAGCTAGCATGTTATGGACATATCATTTCCTCTACTATCCACAGTGCAATGGCTTAATTGGAAATAGGAATGGACACTTCAAACATTTATTATTAATGACAGGGCATAATAAGAACATGAAAATCTAACTAACTCACTGGGTGAGTATAGGCTTCATCTGAGTATATGCAGCAGTAAAGGGAAAATGCTGTGAGAAGCTTCTAGGTACCAGAAGTAGGAGTGAGGGAGCTGGAGAAAAGGCTGAACACAGTTCTCTCTTTCTCACCTCACAAGGTCTGAGTCCCAAGACTGGGGTTGCCATTATGCTTCAGATGATGGGACATAGCTGGGCAAGACTCTACCTCTTTTGCTTTGAACTTGTCTCTATGTCTACCAAAGGGAATCTTGGGTTAGATATCACCCTCACCTCACTGGCCATGCTAGCACTTCCCCTGAGTATTGCCTAGGATTGAGATTATCCTGCTCTACTTTATTCTTCTAACCCTGCCCCCTCTTCCTGAACAGAAGGGAAGATCCCAGGGAGGCTCCTGCTACCATCTGGTTTATGTAGTGTCCATGTGCCAGAACCAGAAGCCCTCACTCAGGAAGAGTCTAAATTAGGAAATATAATACATATAGATGAAATAGTGATAGAAAAGAGAAAGGCAGACAAAGGTGACGACACCAAAGAATGATACCATCGCTCTTTTCTACTGAGAACAATTCCAAAGCAGAGATTCATAGCTTTGCAGCTTTTCTCAGATGAAGTGCCAAGTCATAGTTGGTTCTGAGAGAAATTGCAGGAGCCTTTTACCCTAAAAAAGGGAAATTGGACTAAAGTAAGGACTCCATGGGATCTGTAGAAAATAGGTGGTACAGCATTGTAGGCTCTGTTTATTTCTTTGGTTATTTTATAGGTAAACTGAAAATGATATTCCTTTCTACTGCCCTGGGCAGGGGCTGCAAAGCAATCGAGCATCTGCATACCATGTAGCCACAAGTCAGTAAGATAATATACTCCAGCAGCTGTCTGGGTGTGGTGAAAGCAGACTGCTGTTTCATGACTGGTGTGTCAGAGCCTGTCTTTCTCCCTTCACTATCCCAGATGGAAATGTGGAGGCAACTTTGGGGGACAGGTGATATTGGTAGCCAGAGAGCCTCAAAGGAGGTGAGCACTGGATGATATCATAGCCACATATGACCCATGGCTGTCCTTTGCAGTTCCAGAAGGTATGCTTATAGGTAGCCTCACGGCATATCCAGATTGAAACAGATATGAATAGAATATGCCTGACTAACAGATTTATGGAGCACCAAATAGTTTGGAGTTTCAAAAGTAACCCTCACATAAGTAAAAGATTTCTCAAGGAAATGTATTAGTAATAAAATGACTGTAGGGCTAAAGGAGGACAAAATGACACGGATACCTTCTACTTCAAGGTAAATGAGGTTTGAGACAATAATCTGCCTCATATTCAGAGGGCAGCAGGGAAAGCAGTGTGCATAGGAAAATAATAATAATAATTCATTTAATGTCTATGTAATTAAGGTTTGCACATTTAAGGTACTGAACAAAAATTTTCATACTTAGTTTATTTACTCTTCAAAACAATGGTAAAAGATAAGGATCAATGTCACCACTTTCAAAGGTAAGGAAACAAATTTAGCCAAAGTTCATAAAACCTGAGTTAGCAAATTTGGCCAAATTGGTATATCTGAGAATCAAATTCCAATTACTTTGTTTATTCTAACCTTAGGGGGAATTCACCATATAAATTTCATTTAGTGTTGGCTAAAAATAGTCTCTGTATTAGGAACTATAAAAATACATATTACTATAAGATTTGATCATTGTTCCCTAGTAGTTTTCAAAGGACGGGAAGAACAAAATATGCACTGATAAAATGTTCCACCTTATTTGACATATCTTTATTCTAAATTCCTCTACATAAAGAAGTGTAAAAGTAACCATTCAGAATAAAAAGATGAAACTCATGACACCATCAGAGAAAGACATACAGATACTTAAGATGCTAGAGTAGCAATTCCAGGTGAAAGTCATGAAAAGAAGTCCCCCTGTGCAAAGTGCTGTTGGACTTCAGCCTCATGGGAAATATGGGGTTCAACAATAATGATACTAGTAAATGAAGGTTGGTGTAGAAAGGGTCAAATGATTAAAGACAGACAGCAAACACAAAGAGGGAATGTTCAGGGAAAAGTAAGCAGTTTGCTTTAGCTACAGTGCGGGAAACAAAGAAAGTTTGAGATAAGTCTGAAAGTCTGTTAGAGCCAAAACACTGAGGTCTCTAAGAGAAGAAAAGAGGATCACTGCTGCAAAATATATAACTTTTTAAAATAGTACAGAACTATTAAATTTAAATATAAGTCATTCATCAAAGTTTTTTGTTTTGTTTTTTAAGATTTTATTTATTTATTTGACAGAGAGAGAGAAAGAGAGCACAAGCAGGGGGAATGGCAGGCAGAGGGAAAGGGAGAAGAAGGCTCCCCTCTGAGCAGGGAGCCCAATGCAGGGCTCTATCCCAGGACCCTGGGATCATGACCTGAGCCAAAGGCAGACGCTTAACCGACTGAGCCACCCAGGCGCCCCAAGAAAAGTTTTGATACAAAAGAAAGTAGGATAGTCCAATGGGAATGTTCTTCAAATGATACTTGGAAAAATAATGGACTACAAAGTCTTAATTTGTAGGGGATCATTAAGGAGGAGATTGCAAAACAGTGGAACACACTTATGTGAGAAAATCAAACCCTAGAACTTCTATGTCATCCTGGAAAACTGTCAACAGCTACACCAGCCCAGGCTGAAGGCTGAAGCAAACATGGCAATGGAAGGAAAGAATTGGACAGCTGAGTTGTGCCTAGGATGCGTAGGTTAGAGTTGGGGAGGGATGGTGCCTGAAATGTGATGTAACGTTCTAAGTTCCTTATAGGAGGTACATGGGATGAAGTGAGGATTACAGAGTCATGAAGATAATGAGGTAAAGAACATATAACACTTCAAACAATACAAGTCTACTCCCCCCGAAAAAGCCCTAAAAGATCTTATATCTCCTTTACAAATAAAAATCTGAACAAAGAATCTTGGAAGGAAGGAAGGAAGGAA